AGTGGGTGGAGGAAGTATTGTCTGGACTCTCAGTAATAACTGTTCCATTTTCCTAGTCACCTCTGTATAGTTTTGTACTTCTTCAGATAATGCTTCAGAATAGGTGAGAAAGGAACTGTAACTGCCTTGCTGAGAGAAGTTGCACCGTGGAAGCACTTCTGTTTCCCAGAGGCTTTGATGTGCTTTAATAAACCTTTTCATTAGTACCATTTGTACTTAAAAATTCTATAACTAAGATTCCAGTTTTGTAGTGAAATAACTTAGTAGATGGAGACAATCTCTCCACGGTATTTTGTTTTTTACCTCATGAAAGCTTCAGTGGTTGTGAAATCCTGAAAATTTGATACAACCAAGAGAAACTATTGTTGCAGTGCTGTTTTGCTTTTTCTTGTGTGTTTGCCAGCAGCGCCTTTTAAAAGGTAGAGAAGACAACTATAAAGATTTTATTCTTGCTTATTGCTAAAGGATTCATTGATCCAATGACCTTTTGGGTCAGAGGCTGGTTAGTAGTCTTTTTAATGAAACTTGGTTCCCACCATGGGAGCATGCTTACACAGGAAACGACTAGTGAAATATGCAAGCAAGTTTTGTGAGAAAAGATTGGTGTGCGTATTGGTGATTTGTATTATTGTATTGATGATTTATATTACTGTATTGATTATCGTGATCTAAGCAAATCTATTTTGGTTTTTTTAGGGATTTTTTAATACTAAATTTGAAATCTTAGTGTGTGAATTGAATATAGCTTTAACTTTGCATTTCAAGAATAAGTATTAATTCTTGGGAGTAGATGTGGCTTGCAGTTCCTTGTGTATTGCAGGGTTTCTAGTGTTTCTGGCAAGCATCAGTATTCTAACCTTAGCTTAGTGTCAGTTGATGCCTAGTGCTTAAGATAAAATGATCAAAACTTTGTTATCAAAGGAAGCACAGACATAGGTAAAATTAAGGATTGTTGTAGCAGAGGTATGGGTTCTAAGGCTATGGTGATTTGGTATGTAAGCACTCTAACCTTTCAAAAATTTTTTTTTTTAAAGTGGGATACATACACAGATGGATGAGGCTGGGCACCTTTTCCCTGACTAGTCTTGTAGTTAGGATTTGTTCTACATGATGTGTTTCCTTCCAGTGTCTTTTTTCTCAATTTACCATAAATGTTTTCTGCCATCATGGATTCTAGGAGGTTCAGACAGAAACCCACCGTGCCATTCAACCCAAGCATGGTAAAACCTTTGCTGCATCATCATTGCAGAATTGATTATGAGTTGCTTCTGGTGACACGATAGCAAGGTAGTGCACAAGGAAGGAGCATGCACACATAGTGGTATCTCCTAATTGTTAAAATTAGTTTAAATTATATTCTTAGAGGGTGCTAACTTCTATGCATTTGGGGCTTCTTAATTTAATATTATTATGGTTTCTTCCTGATCCACAGCATGGAGGATACCTTTTAAATGCCTGTCTGTTCATATTGAAGTCAGGGCATATTCAGCACAACTGAAGTAGGAAAAATATGCTGGTGTGGTGGGTTTTTTCCTTAATTGCTTGTACTATGTTATTACTATTCAGTTTCTTTTGTTAACTTCCAAGAAAGCTACTATTGGAGACAGATTTTACTTGTGATAAAAATGTTATGTGGCTGTGTGTAATAAACACACAGAGTATGTATGTAGCAATTAATCAAGAGGTAGATTGTTAAGGAGTACTAGAGGCACAGCTTTCTTTTATGCCTTAATCTGCTCTGTAATCTTTTCTGTGAGAAATCTTCAGGTGAGAGGATCCTCAAAGGAACCCAATCAACCAGGAAAAATGAGAAGGGGGGGGGGGAGTAAGAGAAGGAGGTGTCACTTTTTAAAGCTTTGTCCTTTAGGTTATTAAAAGAATTGGTTTTAATTAAAAATATCAGATGCAAAATTAGCTTGCTTGGAGGTATACTTGCATTAGTACAACACATATGTATAAAAAAACAATAGAAAAAAGATAGTCGGTGGAATTGTGTGTGTATGTGAATATATATGTATATGTAGTATATGGAAAGCTGGATATGGTTTGTGTAT